GTTGCATTTTCGTGTTCTGACCTGCTTATAAATACTTTGTAAAAAAAAAAAAAGTTCGGTTGATCATTAGGAGCCTTCGAAGCAAATAATTGAATATTTGATAATTTTACATATATATATAATAAACATATACTAAAATTAAGTATATTGAGTTGTAATTAAGCAGTGATATCAATAATTTACACTAAGTATCGTACCAAGTAACGACGGTACGATACAATAGAATGTTTGCTTTTACCACTTGTCAACTATGGCGTATGCCGTAATTTCGCTGTATATTAAGGACCCATACTTGGTCGTCTATGTACATCAATGAAACACGGGACGTAACCAAATATTTGAAAGATCTGTTGAACCAGCAACGTCTACAGCATATTCTTATTTAAGTCTGATAACATGCCGATTAGAACTAGTGGGCTGGCTCGATTGAAAAATAAAAGTCGTGTAGGGATCCACTTATCATTCTCGAGTGCTTATCCCACGAAACACAATGGGGATATTTTTTTTAAAGTAATTTTCCAGCAAATGGACAACTAATTGCAAAAACACTTCATATATTTTATTTTCAAATAATTGAATACAGAATATTAATGATGAATCAAAAATATCAAATAACAAAGAGTCTTGATGCTTAGACCGCGAAATTTTTAGAAGTCTTGACATTCAATTTTCATTTTAATAATTAACTTTAAAAACGCGCAACTAATTGAAAGTTTTGAACTAATATTTGTTCCATTTTTAATTTAGGTATAATTTTTCATTCCGAATATTTTCCATTTGGAGAGTTTAAAAAAATTAGTAATATAATTTAACTAACTTTGAAAACTATGCCATTTTTACGGTATGAAACAATTAAAATTAAGTTGCAAATCAATTCAAACAGCTCATTAAAATGATTTGACCTATTATGAGTAATGCATTCCAATTTTTTGAAAAAGCTAAGTATACAAATATATATAAGTAATAACGAATCTAATTAATTATCTTTTTATTACGTATTTTTACAATTCAATATATTTGTAGTCGTAAACCTGATAACTTAAAAAAATGGAATAATCATTTAATTTCCCAGTATGATGGCAATAAAGTTAAAAATATTTAAACAAAGAATTTTTTTTGAAAAAAGCGTGGTTTTTTGAATTCATTTGATTTCAACTGAAGGTTTTCCTATTATTATCTGCCTATTGTGTTAGATAGTGACAAAATTGTCATGCCCATAACTACAATTTTGAAAAAGTGTGAATATTTGTTTAGGCCAGAGGGTCTCAAATGTTCTCCACCCATGTTCTTGTGGTTTCCTGATTTTAAATAAAATAAAAAGGATTCAACTTTTAACAAATACCTATCAAGTATTTTGGTTTTGCAAATTTCAATACGAAAAAGCCAACGAAATAGAAAAACGAGAAAAGAGAAATAAATGAATACGCAGTCAAGTTAATATCTTTGCAAGAAAATACATAGTGCAGGCTTTTGCTTAGAGATTATAGACAAGTTCGTTATGTGCCACAGGAAGTCCAAGAGACTAGTTTAAAAAGTTGCTTCAAAACTAAAAAGCAGAGAACGCAGTGGTTGAGTTTTAGTATTTAGCTTAAGAAAGTCATTAAAAATCATATTATCATACTTTATCGTTAATTATTGGCAGCAGATATATTAAATTTACTAGTACCTTGCAAAAAAGTGTAACAATTAATGGGAATACGTCTACTAATTGGATCATAGTGTTTATGTATTGACTCTGGCCCTCACTATTCAAATGTGAATTGAGCAGTTCGAAGACGAACTTTTTTGTTTGGTGATTTTCTAAAAATTCTTGAACGGTGCTTTCTAAAGTTTCCGCTCGTGTTTATTGCTGTAGATCTATTGCTCACCTTCTAAATTGTAAACGAGATAGCGATCTGAGACCGCTGACTTATCGATCTAGCGGCGTGTATCCTTCGCTTTAACTCAATAGCGACACCACGTGTCCAATCACTAATTAATTAATACCTCGACAAATTCCGATCAACAGATTTACCGATCAGGATCGATAAGTAATAACAAAACGTGGGTTGGTACAGTTAATAAACAAATACTTACCGTAGCAACCCACGATTGTGCGTTAATCCTTTTGGAATAACAGCTATTTTACTAATTATGTGGATTATTTGTTGAAAGCTGTTTTTTGAGCTCATTTAAGATATTTAAAAAAATTACTTGCCATCTATTGGACCCAAAACAATTTATTAGCATGGGCTTGCGTTCTATTCATCGAGATGCCACAAAAGACACAATGCTACGTTTGTGGGCCAATAGTCATAAATTTTTGGAAAAAAAAAGGTTAAATTATTTGCACTTGTGTCTCGTAGAAAATTGTCTCCTGATTCTATCCATTTATATCTTGTCCCTGCGTTTTCTTGCGTAATGGGTATCTGTTTAGGGTCATATCTATGTCATGAACCGGAAAATCAAATATCAGAAAATAAGATAATCTATTAGGAATAGAAATATAACGTTAGACTTCACGCTTCAATTCTAGCTTTAAATGGAACTCGCGATAAGATGTGGTAGACCTCATTTATAATAATACCAATTATGTCTTGTGTGTTGAATATAATCATACAAACATGAAGTATGTTTCATTGAAGAACGGGTTCAAATAGTTTCATTTCGACTCTGGTAAAATAGTTTTGAGAGAAGCATTACCTTCAGCGTCAGAGTAAGGGAATATTTAACCAACAATCAACTATCGGCCAAGTGGCGATCTTCCTCAATATCTCTTTGCTTGTTTTGACATCGGTTTGACAAATATTTAAGAACCCAGCGGACGACGACAGCGAATGACTTGGCATCCTTAGAATCACTTTGTGATTATTACTCATCGGTATACTTTTTCCTAGTCCTACACCAATTAAAGGTATGGTGAAAATAAACAAAAAATTTTACTTGTCATTAATTCGGCCAAAAGCAATTTGGTAGAACCTTGTTATTATTAATAATTCATTTCTTTATATAAATATTTTTTGTAGTTTCTGTGTTTTGTGCCTTGTCATAAATATTTGGCAAAAAACGTAAAAATTTGGTTGATCAATATAGGAGCCTTCGAAGCAAGGAATTAAATATTTGATAATTATACAAATGATATGAACATATACTAAAATTGAGTATCGAGAGTGTGTACACAAACACATTAATGCATACATTAATATTGTACAAAATTAGAAAAATTTATTATTATCAATATTCTATTTTATAGATGATGTTTTATTGGAAAAATGTATCAATTAATTTCAACTATGATGTATGCTTTGCTTCCGCTGTGTATTCATAACCCATACTCGATCGCCTATTTACATCAATGAAACCCGAATATGTAAAAAAAACTGTATTGACCCAAAACCTGCGGTAGCAGGTTTTCGAACATGATTAACTGTTTAGAACTGTGACTTCAAAAGTTTTTCGGTCCGTGTCAGGCTTCTAATGACACTTCAATTCCAGCTGTTCAGGAAAAACAACATTTAACAAGTTTCTATCACGTATCTTAGTTTTGCAAAATCAATAATGAAAAGTCAACGAAATATAAAAACAATAGTTGGATTTTAGTATTAAACTTACGAAAGTGATTGAAAATTTTATTTTAACAGGTTATCGGTATTTGTTGGCAGCAGACATATTAAAATTATGGTGACGTATTTAACATTTTTAATATTTTAGTTTCGAACAAATTGCATTCAATTTACTCATATGTAGTGATTGCAAATGACACATAACGGAGTATTTTGCCTGTAGACCTTTTGATAGCCCAGTTTATGAAAAGCTGGTTTAGTACAACGTAAATATTCAAATCAAATTACGTGGAAATGAAAAAATCATTATGTGAGACTACATCCACTCATTGTAATATACTATGGAATTCAGTTTTTGTTTGCTTTTGTTACTTCCATGTGACCTAGTTTTTTTTCTATTTGTTTGTCATTCAAGAGGCACTTGTGGTGATCAGACATTTCTGTATGTTGAGCAGTTTTGAACATTTTAGAAAAATGAAATGAAAGCGACTTCTTTTATAAAAGAAACAAAAATAAACACTCCAAGGAAAAATAATAAGGGTGATTAAACTAAATTATTTTAAAATGTGTACAGCATCTAGCACTTATATAATCATGCCTTTTTTAAATTCTATATGTCAATTAATTTATTTCGAGATACTTTATTTGTTTGGTTTAGTGTAATTTCCAAAGCAATCTTCATTTGATTTATTATCTAAATTTTTCATTTTTTTTTCGATAATATAATTAGCAAGGGGATCGTATACAATTTTTTTATAATTAAAAATAGAATTATTTGTTAGATTTGATATCATTCTTAAAACATTTCATTTATTTCATTATTTACGTTTCATTCACGTATTTTCAGCGTGTTTTTTTAATAAACATACCTCGCCTATCTGTTGTTTGTAGCTTATTGTTAGCTAATTATTTTTGAAGCGGGCGCGAGACTAGACAAATTCTAAAAACGGGCGAGGCATAAAAATTTCGAGAGCCACTTGTCTAAATTCTTCCTTGGCACAGTTATATGTTGTCTCATAAATCACAAGCTTTTTTAAATATCAGAAACTGTATACACAATGATATGTACACATATATCTTGCAAATACTTAAGATCGTACCATGTTACACAGATTAGGGTAAAATTAGTTCCAGCTTATCAGCATTTCAAGTGTGGGCTTTGCCTTGATTTGCGCCGTGTATACAAGATCCATGCAGGTCCGCTTATGTACTTTGTTAACTCACGGGCCTTAAACACAATATTTACACGCAATGTTGACTCAAGTCATAGGACTTCTTAGAAGTATTCATTGTTGAATATTTTTTAAATTATATGACCCAGCAATGTATCCATATTGCACTTTATGGTGGTTACAAGACTTTGATAATTGATAACATACACCTCCTAGTAATGCCTGATCAACTTCAGTTCTAAGATTTAATTATAATTTATCCATTACATAATTTAGACCTATCATAATGTCAGCTATAGGAATCGATCTTGGTACAACAAATTCATATGTAGCTGTGTATAGGAGAAATAAGGTATTTTTTTTTTATAAAATTTCTTTATATTTGAAGTTTTACACAACTTTTACAAAGTATCAAATAAAAATTTTTCTTAAAGGTTGAAATCATTGAAAACTATGAAGGAAACCGTTCAACCCCATCTTATGTGTCATTCACAAAAGACGAGATCCTTATTGGTGAAACCGCCAAAGACGAAGTATCATCTGATGTTGAAAATACTTTATTCCGTAAGAAAATTGTTATCTTCCTATAATCCGGCTCAATTATTTCCAATAAGCTTAATTCCTTTCCAACAATAAATTCAGTCAGTTTACACAGAACAAGCCCTAACCTCTGTAAAAATGCGCATATCTCTTACTGGTAGCATTTGAAATTCTTTTATTTATCATTATATAATGTAATAAATGAAAATTATATTTAATGGGCATGGCATTTATTTGATAAATTTTCAATTATCGATTCTCTGCGCAGGTAGTGATGATTAGAAATTTGACATTTCATTCAAGCTTCAATGTGTTTTAGACAGTTCGTCTTCTGACAAAAATGAAATATACACTGCAACTGAAATAATTTTAATTCTGTGGAGATATTCATTAAAATTAAAGAATTTATATTTGTTTTATTCATCCATAAAATAGTCATCCAATTCCTGTGATCTGGTAAAACCAATGTCAACAGAAGCCGACGATTTCCAAAAACTATATTAGAAATAGTGCTCAAGGACGGTAGCAATAATTTGTCAGTGAGAAACAAATAAGAGTTCGATTTCATACGACTGCTTATTTCAGAAATTAAAAGATTAATTGGACGCTCCTACGATGATCCAATGGTACAAGCTGACTTGAACTTGTGGGGAATCACTATAATTGACGATAGGAATAAGCCAAAGATAAAGGTGATATGTTTGTCAAACAATACTAAGCGAATATCTTACAGACCTGTAGTCATTTAATTAAACAAATTTTTGTACTCATTGTGAATTTCAGGTTAAATGTAAAGGCGAAGAAAAAACGTTCTGCCCGGAACAAATCAGTGCTATGATTCTCAAATCTCTAAAGAGAGCTGCTAAAGATCATCTTGGTAAAAAAGTCAAAGACGCCGTAATAACTGTTCCTGCTTATTTTAATGATGCTCAACGCAACGCAACAATAGATGCAGGAAAAATAGCTGGACTTAACGTTCTGCGCCTTATTAATGAACCAACAGCCGCTGCGATCGCTTATGGATTAGATAGAGAGGTGTGAGCATTTTCTTATTTCAGTCATTTATTACTTTGGTATTACAGAAATTCTTGAATGAACTAACTTATTAGTGATAGAAAAATTGTTGGAAAACGTTATATTTTCAACACGACATAAGTTTGTTTCCCAATATACGAGGATTTATTGAGCCATCATTTTTACAATACAGATATATAGGCACTAAGATTTATTATGCCATTGCAGAAAAATGAAAAACAGAATGTTCTTGTCTTTGATCTTGGGGGTGGAACTTTTGATGTCACAATTGTAAATATCAAAGACAGAGAATTCCTTGTCAAGGCAACAGGCGGTGATACTCATTTAGGAGGTATTAACGTGTTGAAGATTCGAGTCACAAAAATACTTCTCAGGATATTTTGTACTCAAACTTTATTTACTCTTGCTTACACAATCTATTGCTCTGTTTTGAAATTAATGAAGTACATTGTAAATCAAGCGAAACATATAAAATCGAAACATATAAAGAAAAATCATATACAGGGATGAAACAATACGTAATATTTAGATTTTTTTGATAGATTTAATGCTTTCGTCACAGAAAAAAATGAGAATTATCAATTTTGTTTTCTTACCCACAGTGACTAAACACTATAAAATTATTATTACAAATATATACATTCATGTTTTTTGATGCATCTGATTAATGTAATATTTGCCTGACTTGAACACAAGATGTTGCTAAATTTATATCACCTGTCAAGATATTTTAAGAGATCAATTTGTTTATTTAAATTTAACAGGCGAAGATTTTATCAATCGGATGGTCAACCATTTTGTCTCAGAGTTCAATCGTAGGTATGATTGCGATATATCTCAAAACAAAAGGGGAATTAATCAATTACGTGTCGCCTGTGAAGTTGCAAAGAAAAGATTATCGATATCCGAAACAGCAAAGTATTTGATAAATTTTTTCATATTTCTTATGAATATACCAAGAAGATGTTCTTCATATATTTAAATATATATTAGCAATATTAATTGCTTGTTAACATCAGTGAAGGAAATAATTCGTAGTAGTCATTTAAATGCCCTGACTTTATAGGCTGCTATATAAAACGAGATAGAGATCGAATACCGCCGACTTATCGATCTCCCGCATGTTCAATATTTTACTCGTAAAAAATAAAATAAAATTGTTAAAAAAAAAATTGTCAAAAAAAAAAATGAATAAAAAAAAAATTTCGCTTTGATATTTGCTCAATAGCGACACCACGTGTCCCATCACTGATTAAATAATAACTCACTTATTATACGACATAATTCATCCTTCTGGTCCGAGATATGATGAATGTACATGCAAACTTTGGAGCTGATTCAACCTCGCCTTCGTGAGATATCGCGTGTATCTAACAGACAAACAGACAGACAAATACCTATTAACATACTTATCGAGATCGATAAGTAAAAACTGCTCTCTTCCAGTCCGGCACAAATAATAAATGTTTCTAGTTTGATGATTTTAAATTTACAGCAAAAAGCAAAAACTACTAAATATTAAAACTTTATTGTTGGAAAGGTGTTGCACGACAGTATCTACTGCAGTAGAAATACTAATATTAATAATAATGTTTATTTTTCACTGCAGAGTTCAAATAGCTAAACTTCACGGCGATATCGATTTTATAGAAACTATTTCTCGTGCAAAGTTTGAAGATCTTAACTGCGATTATTTTGAGAAAACGATCCAAGTTGTAGAAGACACACTTTCAGATGCTTGCATGGATAAAAGTGAGGTGGGTTGCGTATACAGCGTGATGAAAAACAGTAGAGTAAAATATTAAATTTTACAAATATATAAATTCTCAATAATCTTATCATGTCTATAATTTTATTTATGAGGTTCCTTTTTTAAGAGATTTCTTGAAGTTGTACATTACAATAGGGTTGCCGAACTCTCCCGCTTTCGAGAGCCACAATTCTATGCTTTCACGGATAACAACTCGTTAGCTTACCGTATCTTGAGTGGATTAACTCCCCCCTATAACACTTAAATAAAACGTTTTGTTTTTACTAAAAATTAATGAAAACTACGCAGTACTTTATTGTAATATATGTCACATTTTAGCCGCGTTAATAATATTTGATCGCGTGTCTCGAACCTTTATTATCTTTAGCTAAAAACCTTATAAAATGTAATAAATATTGATGGGTGGTGGTCAAGGGCCCCATTGCAGGATTACTAGTGCCGCGAGTTTGACACTCCCGCAGTAAATACTGTTACTGTTTTTACATTTGATACAACATTTAGTCGAATGATTTTCGTGCCTATATTGTAATATTTCGTGCCCAGTATTGTAATATTCAATATTCAGATTGACAATGTCTTGCTTGTCGGTGGATCTACCCGAATTCCAAAAGTGCAAGAGCTATTACAAGAATGCTTCGGAAGAGAAATAATCAGCAAGGAAATCAATCCCGATGAAGCAGTTGCGCAAGGGGCAGCGATATTGGCCGCTGAGCTGTCTTCGAGTGAATCTTGTCAGGTTATTGTTTTCAGAAATATATAATCATAGTGTGTTGTGATTACTAATTTTCTTTCATAAACTTTGCATTAAAGCTGGAAAAAATCTTTGATGACATTTGGAACGAAGGTAATTTTATTCTGATACACACTATTCCGTAAATATTCAAATTTACATATCTTTTTTGATATTTTTGATTGCTAATAAATGGTGACGTTATTTGTACTTATATATGATTTGTAACTAAATTATAATTATTTAATAAAATACAGATATTAGAGTTGACAATTGAAGATGTCGTTCCTTTATCACTTGGATGGAAATCTACTAGAGGAGATATGGTTACTGTCGTGCAACGTAATACAAAAATACCGACAACGAAAGGGAGCTTCTGTATGACACCAAGAGACGATGTTACTGAGATGACCTTCAATGTGAGTGAACATTTGGCGAGTGAAAAATATGCCAGACAAATAATTGCTTATCATACTGCTTGAAACGAAATATCTTGTTTTTTATCTGTTTTATTTATAATTAAAGATATTTGAAGGCGAACGAGATGTTGCAGACATGAATCATCGTCTTGGAGGTTTCAAAATCAGAGACATACCTCGGAGTTTGCGAGGAAACCAAACATTCAAGATTCAATATACCATAGACAAAAATGGAATTCTAAATGTGATGGTGCAAAATTTAGAAACTCGGAAAGAATCTCAAATCCAAATCGAGAGTAAAGGAAAACTCACTAATAAGGAAATTAGGCAAATGGTCAGTTTATTTTTGTTTTTTTTTGAAAACCTAAATCGTTTTGCTCTTTTTCTATTTTACTACTATCAATGACTTCTGATAATTTAGGTAATGGAAATTATGCTACAACTCAAATTTTAACATTGTAATAGTGTTATGTCTTTTTACCTGAATTACTCATTGAATTTTTGTCATTTTAAATACCCAGATAAAAGATGCCGCAAAATATAAAAAAGAAGATGCCGAATGGAAAGAACGTAGTAAAAAAGCTTGCAAGCTTGAGAAGTTTGTGTACGCTGTCAAACACGCAGTATCAAAAAGTTAAAGAATCTTCCAGATGAAGACAAGGAAAAAATAATCGAGAAGTGCACTGAAATCATTGGCTGGCTTAATGATAATCGCGTAAGAATTACTTTTAGACGCGTACTTTAAGAAACGAACGCTACTACATACGACCTTTTTATGTTCTCTTTACTATTATTTCATCAAGTAAATTTCCCATCTGTTATATTCTTATTTTCGTTTTAGGATCCGCCAATTTCTGAAACTAAAAAGAAGAAAGCTGATTTGAAAAATATATGCCAACCAGTATTTGAAAGGATTCCATATGGAGCTGAAATTTTGCATAAATATAAAAACTAAATGATGACAATACCTCATATTGACGGTCGTTTTTACAACGTCAATATAATGAAATAATGTTAATTATTACCATACGGTATTACCCACATAAGCACATGCATGGCATACATGAAGTCCCTATACAGTTTCGATTTTTTTATGAAGTTAGTTCTCAATATAAACATGTTTGTTGCTTTTTAATCAGTAATTGATCAATCAAATATATGAAAATAAGTGTGGGAAAATGTAACATTAGACTTCACGCTATAAGTCCAGCTTGAGGTGGATCTCACAATATAGTGTGGTAGACGTTATAGTAATACCAATTATGTTTCGTGTGTCGAATAAAATTATAAAAATAAAACATAGAGTTTGTTTCATTGAAAAACGGGTTTAAATAGTTGGCAATATATTTTTTATTTCGAATCTGGTGAAATAGTTTTGAGACAAGCATTGCATTCGACGTCAGAATAGGGGTCGGAATAAGTCCTGGTGGCGGCCTTCTTCAATATATTTAATCCATATTTTCTTCAATATTTCCTTGCTCGTTTTGACATCGGGTCGACATATATTTGAAAATCCAGCAGATGGCGACAGTGAATGTCTTGTCATCTTTGACATCACTTTTATTTATTACTCATTAGTATATTTTTCAATCCTCCGTAAATATAAAGTATGGTGAAAATACTGAAAAAATAAATATGTTGGCAAGCAAATACTAACTGTACCAACCCACGATTGTGTGGTATTCATTTTGTGATAACGCCTGTATTACTAATTATGTGTATTATTTGCGTTAGAAGACGTTCTCAAGACGTTAGCGACGTGTAAATCACTGAGAGCTGCTTTTTAAAGCTCGTTTCGCATAGGCAAAAATATTTGTCAACTATTAGGCCCGAAGCCATTTGGTAGCATGTGCTTGCGTTACACCCATCGAGCTGATAAAAAGACACATTGCTACGTATATATGTGAGCAAATGGTAAAATTTTCCAAAAAAAATTTTGTTTTGTTAAAACAGGATTACCGTTTTTTTTGTGTAACTTTCCAACAAGACGTTACCACAACTATTATTATAACCGAACCCCTTACGAAAAAGGTTACGTGGTGTTACGCTCAACAATTTTAGTATCGGAAATCGACTGCTGCAATTTAGTGGGAGCCCGCGGGCTCCGCTGGCAAAAGGTAAATTGTCAAAACAACACAATTTTTTTTTTCAGATCATTGTATACTTAGCTAAATATTTAAAAACATAAAAAAGCACATGGAATTTTTTAAACGCTGCAACCTTTGAAGCACGTGTTCATATTGCACATGTAATTAACAAGCTAGCCTTGCATTATTAGCATCAGTATTGTGTTTCACGCGCCGTATCTATACAACTCGTATTTACCTTGTTAGGTAATTTTGGGTGAATTAATTCCAAATGTTTGGACAATTTTCTGGGGATTTTACCAGCCAACTCATATGCATATAGAGCAGGCATGGGCAAAGTACGGCCCGCGGGCCAAATAAAAATCTGGCCCATTTGATACTGCCACAATCAAACTAAAACCGAATTTTGATGTTTTAGCTGAAAATAGCTTAAGGAATTTGTTGAAATTGCAATTAAATTTAGTTTTGCACGAGACTATTGTTTTCCACTTTTGCTTTTGTAACACTAAATATTGTTCATATAATGTAACTTTTCACGTCTCACTTACATGGCTCGTCAGCCTAGCTGGGCAAAATATTTATTCCCTGGTCCAAAAACCTTGCTCACCCCTGATATAGAGCCAACTCATTACATATATACAGATGCACGTACGGCCAACTTCATATGCATATATAGCCAATGCCAAATGCATATATGGCCATCGGCATATGCATATACAGTCAATGTCATATGCAAATATGGCCATATACAATCAATGTCATATGCATACGCAGCCAACTGATATGCATATATCGCCAACATGCAACTTACATGCACATAAATTCAATATCATATGTATATACAGCAAATGCATATACAGCCGATGTCATAGGCATGTGGAGCCCATGCATTATGCATATATAGCCAACTAATACGCAGCAAATGTCATACGCATATACAGTCCATGCCAGTGAAATAGCGCCAATATCACATGCATATGCAGCCAATGACATATGCACACACATACAGCCTATGTCATAGGCATATACAGCCAATACCCTGTGTACATACAGTTAATGCCAGAGGAAAAAGATCCAGCCCAATGGACATCACCATACAGACCATGTTATACGCAAATACGGCCAATGCCTTATGCAGCTATATATGTATATGCATATGACACTGTCCGCATATTCATGACTTAAACCAGGGGTCCGCAACTACTTTTCAACGCGACCCAAAAAAGTTTTTTCTAATTTCTCGCGACCCAAGCATTTGGTAACAATGTAATTAGTTATCGATTTTAAGGCTATTATTGACACTATCAATTTTCTTGTACAAAATTACATGAAACATTCCACATAAAATCGTGAATAATAGCGTATATATGACTAATGCGAATTATTAGCTTTATTCGCTATTTAATTAAGATCACACAAGTTTATTGTAATTTAAAATAAAACTAATCTAACATGAATCCTCCAAGACCACCTCCGAGAGAAAAACCACCTTTCAAGATCAAAAAGATGCGTATAAAGACAACAAAAAGTACTACCAATGAGGAAAAACTACAAACTGGAGAAACGGAAGCAATGGAACTACTCAACGTTTCAACCACGTCTGACCTGTCACAGCACAGTGAGTTAGTGAGCGGAATCCTTCCTCTAATAACGAGGAACATAATAAATGGCATAACCCTGCAACTCCCTGCCATGATAGGCCAGTGTCTTACTGACAACTACGACCTATCAAACAACTCAGACATTTTGACCCCGTTAACACCAAACATTGTGGAAACACTCAATGACTCAAATCAATCTATGCGAGATATTAGATCTGAATTGACTGAAATAAAAGAAAGTCAAGCGTTCCATACTAGATTGTATGATGTTCTTGCAAAAAAGAATAAATTTTTGGAAAAGCAAGCATCTGATAATAAGAAAACTATTGAAAGTCTGCTTGATCGAATACATGATCTAGAAGAAGATTTATTTTATGTCTTCGAAAAAGTAGAAGACCAAGAAAGACGAGGGCGGCTAGAGAACCTGGAGTTCCATGGTGTCCCTATTTCTGAAAATGAGAACACTGACCAAATAGTCTGCAACATCGCAAAGATGGTTGGTGTTGAAATTCAAGCTAGCGATATCTCGACATCACATAAAATGCCAACAGGGATAGAAAAAACTAGAACCCCTGCTATTATTGCCAAATTTGTCCATCGCAAAAACAAAATCAAGATATTTGAAAAATGAAGACTCTTGCGCTCAATAAAATCGAGTACCGACTTCAAACTTCCATCAAAAATATTTATCGCTGAAAATCTAACTGCCATAAATAAAGACCAATACTTCAGAGCTAGATCAGCAAAAAATAATTGCGAATATAGATATATTTGGAAAGGTATTTGTGAAAAAGAACAGTGATGTCAAGAATTCTCTATATATTAGATGTGGAGAAGATCTTTCTAAAATCAAATAACTATTTATGTGAGTGTGATT